ACTAGAGTAAAAGTCATGTTATTTGTAATACCCCAAGAGGTATAAAAGGACTTGGTTTTAGACCAAGTCAGAATCATGTTCATAACAATCTTTTAATTATTGATCTAATAATTAATATTTCCTAATACACTGTAATAATAATATTATTATTGCTAATAAAACACTTAACATATTTTACCCTAAAATAATAAATTAATTAATTAATAAACAAGGGGAAACCTTTGCTGTATCTAGCAAATAACCAACATTCTAATCATTGAGAAACATCTCAAGGGGACGCCTTTGGGATATAAATACATAGAACCTAGGGACCCTTTTATCTGAAAAGATAAGAGCAATATTTTTATTAATTTTTGACCGTAAGTCAGCGAGTAGGCTGTGTGTCAAACAATAGAATCAACTGTAAGTCAGCAAGGAGGCTGTGTGTTGAGCTATAAATAACCTATTAAATAGGAAACTCAGATTGCATGCTTGCAGTGGGTTAAAATTTTTTGTTATCAGAACAGTCTCTCCTGTAATAATGTTGTATAATATTCATGTGGCCGAATGTAGAAGGTTGAGTTCTGTGCGTTGAAATGGCCTGAGAAGAATTTCTCTATGAAAAAATAACAAAAAAAAAAGTTTGGACGGCTGTCCTATTTATATGTTTTGAATTTAATAAAATAGACTATTGCCTTGGCCCGAGTGATGTCATTTTTGCTCATTGCAACAAAGAAGACACAAACCCAACTTAATTGAATTTTTATTTTCATGTAGAATGGTATGAGTGATTTGTAACATGAAAAGCAAAAAGCTCACATTGCGTTCTCAGTTATAAGCTTGTTAATAACCGATCTTGACAACATCAATCATTGGATATGTGAAATAACGTAATTAATAAGATGATCACCTAATGTTAAAATCAATTAATTTAATTCCTCTGTTCTTTAATTTGAAAACTTAAAAAGAATTAAAAATTAAAAACTTCTTATCACCTCGACAATATTGACAATTGGATATGTGAATTAACATGACAAACATGATGCTCGCTTAATGTTAAAAGGAAGTTTCGATCCCTTTTAATCTGCACTCACTTTGCTGGTTCGTAGGTTAGCAAATTGATCTCTTAGAAACGTTTTTATCTGTCAAAAGGAGTGACTTCTAGAAATGGTTTCATCCATCGTAAGTGAACCCGTTTATAAAGAGTTTGGTGGTGCTATATTTATACCCCTAAAAAACAAGTCAAAGAATCAAATTTAAAATATTTGGAAAAGTCATAACCTTTTCCACGAAAAAAGGCCCTCCATCCTCTATATTATTATATTACTTATCTTTTTTGAATATGAGCACCATTGTTTCCACTATTGTATCGTGTCTATTAGAATATTCACGATGATTATGCAATGCGTATTATAATAATTGCATCATTCAAGTATAAATGATACTAGAACCATGCAAAAATGAAATTTTTAACATTTGGGATATAAAATCATATTTATTTTTGTTGAGTTTTAATCTGATGGTTCCATTGCATCGTCGTTTAATTGGTTCCTTCTTTTTTGTGTATATATGTGTGTGTGTGTGTGTGAATACGCGCCTCCCAATTGCAAGTCATATATATAACCGTAAATTTAAATAAATAATAAATCTGATTGAATATTTAGGGTGTCAGATTTAATTAAAATCTTCCTTCTACAAACATGCAACCGTATCTTCATATCCATGGAAATTCTTCAGGTAATAATATCAATGATTATTACCCTTAATAAATTCTTCCATGGGTAAAGGTGATTAGAACATGTTAGTAGGCTTTGATCGAATAAAAGGCTTTAACAGCCGTTATTCATTGAAAACAACACGATTTCAAGGCTTTAACAGCCACAACTATTGACAAAAAATCAATCTCAATAAATTAATAAATTCATCAGGGCCATGGCATCCCCCCCTGAAAAATTTAAATCGCGTCATCGTATCTTCGGGGTCGTCAGTCGGATTAGCCTTTGTTACCCAGGAAGATAAGAATAACTGTAATTTTTAATAGTCAAATATCGTCTTTTGGTGTTTCCAGAGCAGGTTTTCCATCTTCAATACTTAAAAAAATATAATATTTTGTTGAAAAATAGATATTATGACAGTTGATTTAAAATGAGCAGATATAATGTTTTGAATAATAATAATATAGTTAGATTTAAAATAAAGTTGCTTTTTTTACCTTTTAATAATTAATAAACAAATATACCATTATGATAAAGGAGCGAATATAACTGTCATCTAAAATTAAAGCCCTTACGTGGAGCAAAAACAAAAGGAAAGGGGTTACTCCTTAAAACAATAATAATAATTAATATTTTTATTATTGAGTCGTGTTTGTGTTCGTGTTTAGTGATAGCTTACTTTTTTATAATTGTGCAATGGCAACATTTAACAATTATTATTTATCATACATAGCCTGTGACATACAAAATTTTTTCATTATTATAATGCAAAAAATAAAGTAAGTTTACAATATTGTTATATATTATCCTACAATTCTTATTCAATAACAAATTGATAATAGGGTAATGTGTCTCAAGATAAACTTGACATTTCAAAGGTAATTTTTGGCGCAGGAGTTTTCAGTATCAGGTATAATCCTATTAAGGAAGTACGGCCTTTGGAGTCAGTGCATAAAGCATTAAAGCTAGGTAACTTCATATATATACACACATACACATGCAAATGCATGTGTAGGCTCAATTAAACATTATCTGCTATATATACATGCATATATAGGTATAAATGGATTTGATACAAACCCATATTATGGAAATAGTGAAGAAATTCTTGGTAATGCACTAGAGTCATTAAGATCAGAATTTCCTAGATCAACATATTA